TCGGCTGAAACTTGGAAAATCGTTACAAAGAAGGTGTGTACATTTTTCTTCGCTTAAGCTGACCGTTTTAAGCGAGAAAAATCCGTATTTTGCAAAGCATCTTTTTGCAAAACAAGAACTGATTACGCGTGCAAGACTTTGTGGACAAGATTTTGCGACTGGTAAGAATTTCTCTTCTCTTCGTCTCGCGTTTGCATAACTGTCTCGAATTCTCCCAACCCCTCTCGTGTTTATATCAGGCTATGCAAACACGGAAAACGTTTTCTATTGCTTAACTGGTAATTTGTCAGATAAAACAGAGTTTATAGTGACTGCTTGGTATAGTTCGTTTCAGACTTGAGTTTCTTAACGAAAGAAAACGAAGATTCAGCTTGATCGTCCGAGAGTTCACGCTTCAGATGAGAAAACTTTTGGTAAGCTCTAAGATCATCAAAAGAGCCTACAAAGCCAGTGCTAGAATCCTCAAAAACCTCACTGTCCCTGGGCATGATGAGAATGCAAGAAAAACTAATTGACGGTCGAACTGATATATGCACCGAACTGTCTTACTTAAGTTGTTTTCAGGTCGAATATTATGGGCACTGCTGTACCGTCCTTTTCCTCCAACACAATAAACTCATTGTTATTGTATCATACTGTTTGTTTTATTAGTGAGAGTTGAGAGCATAAATAAGTTATTCTCTCCGTAAGCAGTTTGGACTTACAAAATACTTAAGAATATTGCTAGCGTCGTAAAATACCGTCTGGTATGCACAGCTGGGTTATTTTTTTACCAGATAATAAATAATCTTTTGAACAGGCTGAAGATTAAGAATTGCTTCAGCAAAATTATCAGTCAACAGCGAAACTTGCCAACTGAAAAGGAACAGGGGCACCCAACGACAATTTTCGGAAAATTATCTGTTCGGAAGACGATTTGAGATCTAGAATTTTAAAATTTCTTGCTTGCCTGCTTCTCCTAGGATTTTCGAACATCAAAAAAATGGTATAATTGCCCATTTTTAACGGATTTTTTCCCTAAAAAGGTCACTTAGAATTTTCGGGAGCCTTTTTTCTGGCTGAAATTTTCGGAAAGGTAGATTTTGATCCCTATAATTTTCGGATCACTATACTTTCAGCTAGGAAATCCGAACAGATGAAAAATTTGTAGGGGATAAAAATAAGCCTTTATCTACTGTTTAGATACTAATGTACGTTCAACAATGCTATGTTTATTTGGTTTTGAACTATATTCTCGTTGGGTGCCCCTGAAGGAAGCTTTATTTTAGTCTAGTAATCCATGACAATGTTTTCGGTTCCCTTCTACCGAGTGTTAGTTTTGTGCAGACTATGGACTCTTTCATACGGAGTAATTCCAGCAGAAAACAAACTTTCCGAAACCAAGGTCAGTCCTTTGCAAATATTAAACTAAAAGGAATGAAGTAATTTCAAGACAAATACCTCGCGTCATGTTATTCAAACAGTATCCTAACCGATGGGAAAGGTATCGAGACGTCACTGAAACATCACCTGTAAAGAATTTGGAAAAACCGTTTGAACCTCGAGCATCAAGGTTTGAACGACCTATCAGACCTCGCTCAGTAACAATACTTGGACTGTCTACGAGACAATAGTCACGTAAAAGACATGGGCGATCTGTTAGACCTCAATTAAGTACAAGATTTGGACGATCTATTAGACCTCAGTTAGTTAGAAGATTTGGGCGATCTATTAGACGTCAATCAGTTAGAAGATTTGGACGATCCATTAGACCACGGTTAGTTACAAGATTTGGACGATCTATTAGACCTCAATTAGTTACACGATTTGGACGATCTTTTAGGCCGCAATTAGTTACAAGATATGGACGATCTAATATATAGATTTAGCCATGGCTAAAAGTAAAGCTCTCGTTGATAAACTTATTATTTTTAAAAATCAAACAATAATGTTGTAATCCTCAAATCACTTTACGTTAGGGAAGATACATATGATTTTTGAGGGAAAGGCTAATTGATTTTAGAGAAAAAATAATTTAAAGACAGTCCAAGAATGAAACAAATCTTTCATCGAGTTAACAGCCTTATATGTGCACCCAAATCATGCACCTTTGACCACAGTGGATTAGGGCTTGAAAAACATATTCTTCCCCCAAAAAAAACAACCCAGTCATACACAACGTTCACTTTTTAAACTAACTGAACGGCCCCGAAGTATAATTTTATGCTATAAAGACCGGTTATAAGAGCCGATAGTCCTCGGTTGCAGACAATTTACACGTTATAATTTATCGGTTACATTCCTCTGTCTAAAAAGGGAGCCAAAATAACAAATCATACCGGATTTTTTGTGTTCGTCGACTTTAGTTAACGAAATCTTGCCGGCAAATCTAGTGGCGATTTAACCATCCGATTTTTGAAAACAAACACCTACGACTGTATTGTCAAACTCCGATTTTCGAAAACCCCAAACTCCGCTTTTTGAAAACATACTCAGACTTTCGAAATCAAATTCCAATTTTTGTCAACAAAAATCGATTTTTAAGTCCAAGTCAGATGTCCTATTAAATCTTACCAACATAGTGGCTGGAAAACAAGCTTTTAATTGCCCTTTTACTTCATGAAAACAAAAACTCAGGAGGATTGATAATTCTCTTGTTTGAATTTTTTATCACGTCATGTGAAAATCAGCACTAATTGCGCGTCGTAGTCTTAGGTTTTGTAAAACTATGTATATTAACCCTCATTTAAGTATAAGTATAACTCCTTTTATTGTAACATCCGTTTGTTAGAAGGTACGCCTGTTTTAGTTAGCCTGCGAACAGCAGACGTATTTCCGGTCATCTGCTGTTCGCAGGCTAGTTTTAGTATGCCCTGGTGTTTGTCACATTTTTACTGTAAACAATCATTTGGAATATCGAAACATTCTTAATAAAGTTCATGTTTTAATGCTACAGCCCCAATTTTTTTTGTTAATATAGTTCACAATCATGCCTCTATTATTCTTAATACCCGGAAAGAAGACTTTGAAACGGAGTTTCGTGCTGTTCTAACTTCATAATCCATATAAAAAATGTGCCATTGCATTGATTCTCAACGGTTGTTGCGCAATATTACAATTACTATGAGCATATTTAACAGTTTGGAATTATTTCCCTTTTTAGGACGGAATCCATTAAGAAACTGAGTAACTTTAATTTTCTGTAGACCAAAACCTTATACCAGAATAATTTCAAGCATATTGCATCCTTTTTTACATTTTTCGTGGATGAAATAACTCCAAAGAAAAGGTCGTTATGGGTCGAGCCCAAGAAAACAAATTTCGAAAGCTTTAAAACGGAATCCATCAGGAAATTGAGCAACTTTAATTTTCAGTGGACCAAAACCTTGTACCACAATAATTTAAACAATATCGCATTCTTTTTTACATTTTTCAAGAGCTATAAATGTAATTAGTTATATGTAGTAACAACCAAGAAAATTTCTTATGAGAGCCCGAGAACATATATGTCAAATTTCACAAAATGACACCTTACACATCAAATTTTAAGAATTTTACCTGGGTTTTCACAATTCTTGTGAAATTTGACATTTATTTTCCCGGGCTCCCATAAGAAACGGTCTTTGGTGTTATTACAGGTAACTAATTATATCTACAGCCCTTTAAGAATGTAAAAAAGAATGCGATATTGTTAAATTATTCTGGTACAAGGTTTTTGTTCAATAAAAATTAAAATTACTCAATTTCCTGTTGGATTCCGTCTTAAATTTCACAAAATGAAATTAAACGCATGTTAATTATCCTTGAGTGTGTTTTGTTAATTCCTGTGAAATTTAAAATTTATTTAATCGGGCTCCCATAAGAAACTTTCATTGGTGTTATTACAGATAATTCATTATATCTTTTCCCCTTGAAAAGTGTAAAAAAGAATGCCATATGGCTTAAAACATTCTGGTACAAGGTTTACGTCTACTGAAAATTAAAATCACTTAATTTCCTGATGGATTCCGTCTTACTATTTACCAACCCTGGAATTGTTATTGTTTTCGTTCTTAACAGAAACATGAGATAAACCTTGAAGACTAGGCGATCTATGCATGGATAATTGTCACTTTTTGATTAAGGTTTAACTGTTAAATTAAGTATGCTTCGTTGTCGTCACACCTTCGTCGTATCGTAAAATGATTGCGTCAGTGTCCCAAACACAGTAACGTGACGTCCAATGTGCGCTATTGTCATGGTACCATGATAGGCAAGGTAAGGTAAAATCGACGTAGAGTAGTATGAAATCAATTCGCTAATAATCCTAAAATGCGCTCATACGTCCAGCTGAAAATTTATTGTCGTTCATCCAAAACCTAATAAAACGGGACTAAGATGATCACTGCTCAACCAAATCAAAAATCAAGTGCCAGCACATTATTGCTAGTAGCACAGTATATTCTTAAACGTAAGTTTGTCATTTTTATTATGAAAATGTTTTCCCACATTCAAGTCGTATTTCTGTGGAGACTGTTGGCTTTTCTATGTACCTTTGGGGAGGTGGAGTCAAAACCTTCCTCTACTACCAGAACACACTTTCGCGGGTTGCAATTATTTGATGCAAACGGCGGAATTTCAAATCAAATTGGTCGCAGCAGCTTATTGAGACGGAATGGTGATCAAGTGTCCAAAAATAGATACAGCAACCAATGGAAAAGAGATGAAGAGACTATTGCCTCGAACTCAATGAAAACATTTGCAAAATTACCAAGGCGTCAACCAGTTAAAAAATGTATACCGTCCCTCAGAGCTCAATCAGTTACAAAGTTTGGACGATCTATTAGACCTCAGTCAGTTACAAGATTTGGAGGATCTATCAGACCTCAATCAGTTACGAGATTTGGACGATCTATACCTCCTCAGCCAGTAACAAGATTTGGACGATCTATTAGACCACAATCAGTAACAAGATTTGGAGGATCTATAAGATCTCAATCAGTAACAGGATTTAGTCGATCTATTAGACCACAATCAGTAACAAGATTTGGACGATCTATAAGACCTCAATCAGTAACAAGATTTGGTCGATCTTTAAGACCTCAATCAGTAACAAGATTTGGTCGATCTTTAAGACATCAATCAGTAACAAGATTTGGACGATCTTTAAGACCTCAATCAGTAATAAGACGATCTATAAGACCTCAACCAGTAACAAGATTTGGACGATCTATAAGACCTCAATCAGTAAAAAGAATTGGTCGATCTATTAGACCACAATCAATAACAAGGTTTGGACGATCTATTAGACCCCAATCAGTAACAAGATTTCGTCGATCTTTAAGACCTCAATCAGTAACAAGATTTGGACGATCTATAAGACCTCAAACAGTAACAAGATTTGGTCGATCTCTAAGACCTCAATCAGTAACAAGATTTGGTCGATCTATTAGACCACAATCAATAACAAGGTTTGGACGATCTATTAGACCACAATCAATAACAAGATTTCGTCGATCTTTAAGACCTCAATCAGTAACAAGATTTGGTCGATCTTTAAGACCTCAATCAGTAACAAGATTTGGACGATCTATAAAACCTCAATCAGTAACAAGATTTGGACGATCTATAAGACCTGAATCAGTAACAAGATTTGGTCGATCTATTAGACCACAATCAATAACAAGGTTTGGACGATCTATTAGACCACAATCAGTAACAAGATTTGGACGATCTATTAGACCTCAATCAGTAACAAGATTTGGTCGATCTATTAGACCACAATCAGTAACACGATTTGGACGATCTATAAGACCTCAATCAGTAACAAGATTTGGTCGATCTATAAGACCTCAATCAGTAACAAGATTTGGACGATCTTTAAGACCTGAATCAGTAACAAGATTTGGTCGAACTATTAGACCACAATCAATAACAAGGTTTGGACGATCTATTAGACCACAATCAGTAACAAGATTTCGTCGATCTTTAAGACCTCAATCAGTAACAAGATTTGGACGATCTATAAGACCTCAATCAGTAACAAGATTTGGTCGATCTTTAAGACCTGAATCAGTAACAAGATTTGGTCGATCTATTAGACCACAATCAATAACAAGGTTTGGACGATCTATTAGACCACAATCAGTAACAAGGTTTGGACGATCTATTAGAGCACAATCAGTAACAGGATTTCGTCGATCTTTAAGACCTCAATCAGTAACAAGATTTGGACGATCTATAAGACCTCAAGCAGTAACAAGATTTGGTCGATCTATTAGACCACAATCAATAACAAGGTTTGGACGATCTATTAGACCACAATCAGTAACAAGATTTGGACGATCTATTAGACCTCAATCAGTAACAAGATTTGGTCGATCTATTAGACCACAATCAGTAACACGATTTGGACGATCTATAAGACCTCAATCAGTAACAAGATTTGGTCGATCTATAAGACCTCAATCAGTAACAAGATTTGGACGATCTTTAAGACCTGAATCAGTAACAAGATTTGGTCGAACTATTAGACCACAATCAATAACAAGGTTTGGACGATCTATTAGACCACAATCAGTAACAAGATTTCGTCGATCTTTAAGACCTCAATCAGTAACAAGATTTGGACGATCTATAAGACCTCAATCAGTAACAAGATTTGGTCGATCTTTAAGACCTGAATCAGTAACAAGATTTGGTCGATCTATTAGACCACAATCAATAACAAGGTTTGGACGATCTATTAGACCACAATCAGTAACAAGATTTGGACGATCTATTAGACCACAATCAGTAACAAGATTTGGTCGATCTATTAGACCACAATCAGTAACAAGATTTGGACGATCTATTAGACCACAATCAGTAACAAGATTTGGTCGATCTATTAGACCACAATCAATAACAAGGTTTGGACGATCTATTAGACCACAATCAGTAACAAGATTTGGTCGATCTATTAGACCACAATCAATAACAAGGTTTGGACGATCTATTAGACCACAATCAGTAACAAGATTTGGTCGATCTATTAGACCACAATCAATAACAAGGTTTGGACGATCTATTAGACCACAATCAGTAACAAGATTTGGTCGATCTATTAGACCACAATCAATAACAAGGTTTGGACGATCTATTAGACCACAATCAGTAACAAGATTTGGTCGATCTATTAGACCACAATCAATAACAAGGTTTGGACGATCTATTAGACCACAATCAGTAACAAGGTTTGGACGATCTATTAGAGCACAATCAGTAACAGGATTTCGTCGATCTTTAAGACCTCAATCAGTAACAAGATTTGGTCGATCTATTAGACCTCAATCAGTAAAGAGATTTGGTCGATCTATTAGACCACAATCAATAACAAGGTTTGGACGATCTATTAGACCACAATCAGTAACAAGATTTGTTCGATCTTTAAGACCTCAATCAGTAACAAGATTTGGTCGATCTATTAGACTACAATCAATAACAAGGTTTGGATGATCTATTAGAGCACAATCAGTAACAGGATTTCGTCGATCTTTAAGACCTCAATCAGTAACAAGATTTGGACGATCTATAAGACCTCAATCAGTAACAAGATTTGGTCGATCTATTAGACCACAATCAATAACAAGGTTTGGACGATCTATTAGACCACAATCAGTAACAAGATTTGGACGATCTATAAGACCACAATCAATAACAAGATTTGGATGATCTATTAGACCACAATCAGTAACAAGAAAGATTTGGTCGATCTATTAAACCACAATCAATAACTAGGTTTGGACGATCTATTAGACCACAATCAGTAACAAGATTTCGTTGATCCTTAAGACCTCAATCAGTAACAAAATTTGGTCGATTTATTAGTCCTGAATCAGTACTGAGATTTTGGAGATGTTTGGAACCTTAGTTTGTAACAAGATTTTGGTGATCTTTTGAGTTAAATCAGCAAGAAGGTTTAGATTATCTATCGTACCTCAATTGGTAATAAAAGCTAGCAGAGTGATGAGTTGAGATGATTTATAACATGATTTAATGCTGATGGATATTTGCCTAAAATGTCAGGAGACTGCTAGATAATTCAGTGTTAATAAGGAAACATCAAATACCATGAGCTGTGTGTTAACCAGGTATTTTTAACAAACAAAACGTTATAATTTACTTAGTCTCAGATTATTGTAAAGAAAAATCAAGAGGATATTATTACTTTTCTTTACGAATTAACAAGCAAATAAAGCATATTTTATCCTAAATGTTGGCTCTTGTAGTAAACTAGTACCTAACAGTATACTTCTATCGGTATTAATTGATGCCTTAGCCAATGGGCTAATTCGTCAGATTCGTACATATCTGATAGTAGACTACACAAGGAATCTTCCACGACGCTTCATACCAGCCCAAGGAGTCCAAAAATATAAAACGTTTAACAAAGAAATAAGAAAAGTTACTCGTTGTCCTTCCTTAACCTTGTTGCACTTCCATAAAAATAATTATATTAGTATCATTGATCGGTCTTGTTTCTGCACATTTCGTGTTGTATTTGTGTCGGCTACTCGTGATATTAAAAGGATGGATAGAAACACAGAAAAGAAAAAAATTATGAATTGAGATGACAGCAGAATCTCTACCTATAGTCTCGGAGACATTGGAATAAAAGACTTTGTAACTAAACAGTGGACGTCACTGAGGGTCTGGTTGAATAAAACTACCTTAACAGTAAGTGAAAAGTCGGCTCGACGTATGATGCCGTGTTTCGAAGGATTTCCTCATACTCTTCGTGTCATTTCTATACTTGATAATCCGCATTTGGCCAATCAATCACTAGTGTTGTGCACTATCCTCTTATAGAGCGCTATCAAATGACGTATCGGTGGCCATATTGGTGATCTAAAACAATGAAATGGCGGCGTTGTTGGTGTTCCAAACAAATCCTGTGAGAGTCGAACTCTTTTATTCTGTAAACGCGTGCTCTTTTTATTAAATTTGTATAGATGCTGGCCACGTGAGTTAACACGCTCTGTACAAAAAGAGTGTTCGCAGAAAAGAAAGTTTCTTCACAAAACCGGATCCAGTACACTCGCTCTTCCGTGTCAGTCAATCAATTTTCTAGCTAAGCAACCAAAATTGAGTGTGAAAAATGAGATACATTTTTCAGAAGCACTATTGCTGGTTTTCATGTGACGTCACGGCAGCCAGGCTGATGGTCAAGAACAAAAACATTTCTCTCCTCTGGGAATTCTACTTTCATGTAAATTATTCGAGAAAAAAGTCTATTGTTTTTTACCCCCAACGTGGCCGCCTTGTCACGTGGTTGCAAAAGAAGTTGAAAACAAAGTCATTTAGAACATATTAGTCCTTGTTCAAGGAGAGACTACTCGGTGAGTAACATAGTCCTATGGAGAGGGAAATCAGTAAGTTTTGTAAACGTTTTTAGTAATCAAGACAAGCACTATAGTTGCGGAAAAAAGGAGCAGAGAGCTGTTTCATCCTTTTTACCACTTAACCCTTTAAAAAGCATTAATATCCTCATAGATCAGGGGCACTCAACGACGCTTTCCTCCTTAATACATTGAAAACGCTTTTTAGGCTATCCAGACTACTATTAGATCACTAAAAAACAATTTTACAGCGCCGCCATAAAATACGTATCTGTTCGGTCGACCTAGAGGAACTTGAGTCTTTTTCGCAACACCAACGACTTCAGTATTTATACTTTCCTGTAAATTTTAGATACAATTTAACGCATTAAGAAAGTGAAAATTTTTCTGATTCCTCTCTCCATCACATTTTTGAAGCTGACAATTTGATGTTTCCTTATTTTTAAGATAAATAGCCAAACAAGGGAGTGAAAGGTGAATAATTAAGCTTCAGAAAATGGTAGGGAATTTATTACATGAGCGTCGGAATTGTACATAATAATAATAATAATAATAATAATAATAATAACTTTATTAAACTCCTCAAAAAGGCTTTTCAGCTTAATTTACAATGTCAAATATCTAAAACTTAGTTTTCCAAAAATACCCTTAAAAAATGCTGTTTTATTTTAACCTTAAATACATCTAAATTAGTGATAGACTGAAACTCGTCTGTGAGACTATTCCACAGCCTTTGGTCTCTGAAGGTAAACGTGCGCTGACCTGCAGCCGTCCTACAGAGTGGTATATGTAGGCGGTCCCTATTCCTAGTGTTGCAGTTGTGCACTTCCGATCTGGTTTTAAACTTCTGACAAAGATATGGAGGTGCAAGGCCAAGGTATTTTACGCGAATTATTTGACAAAGGCTACCTATACATTTCGAAGTTAATTGAGTTATATGTTCGTCGTACGTTAAATTACAGTCCATTGTAAGCCCCAGGTTTTTCGCAGACTTAGATGATGTAATCTCTTTGCTGAGTAGTGTAATGCTTAGATCATCTGGTATCTTCATCAGCAACTGCGGAGTCCCCAGAACCAGAAGTTTTGTTTTTTCCGGGTTAATGAGTAGACTGTTTTTACAACACCATGTGGCTATGTTCCTAAGATCTTCTGTCAGCTGAGCTGCGGCTAAGGTGGCATCACGTACAGGAAATGAGAGGTATAACTGTGAGTCATCAACACAGCACTCTAACGACCCTACCTTAGGTACAGATGGTAGATCGTTGATGTAGATATTAAACAATGCTGGGCCCAAAATCGATCCTTGTGGTACACCATACGAGACTAGGCGGGGTTCAGATGTTTCGCAACCGATTCTCACCGACTGTTTTCTTCCGGTCAAGTAGCTTCTTAACCATTCTATTGCTTCTTTAGAGGTACCCATTGCACGTAGCTTCTTTAACAAGGACATGTGATCAATGCTGTCAAATGCCTTGGAAAGATCTAATAACACCAAGGCAGTGACTTGCTTGCGGTCCATTGCCTCCAAGGCTAGATCTGACATCAAAATATTGAGTGTCTCTATCGAATGTAGTTTCTTATTCCCACTCTGGTGTCCACTGAGACAGTTTCTCCTTATTGTATATTCGGTGAATTGATTTAAGGCTACTCGTTCACATATCTTAGATAGGGCAGGTAACAACGACACAGGTCTATTCCCGTTGGCTACTTCCGGATCTCCACCATCCTTTAGAATTGGAACAATTTCAGATTCTTTCCATGGTGAGGGAAATACAGATGTCAAAAGTGAACTGTTTATGATCTCTGTCAAAATCGGGAGGATGGCCGGTAGAGCATCTTTCACCACTGCCATGTGTAATTTATCTTTCCCTGGTGCTTTATTTGAAGGAAATGACTGTACAATCCTATTGATCTCGAAAGAGGTAGCAGCCCGAAATCAAAACTCATCTTCTTCGGGTACAAAACTGACAGGAAGTTCTTGATGTAAAGTAGTTAGACCATTGACTGATGCGAGTCTTTTGGCTTCCTCTGCGGCACGTACTCCCACCTCCGTAAAGAATTCATTGAATTCCGTCGCAAGTTCTTTCATATCCCTAGAATAAGCTGGGCGCGACTTCTCCCTAATTGGTATGCAATTCCGTATCACCTTCCACTGTTCACTAGAGCACTGATTCTTTTTAACCTCATTCTGGACATACTCCTTCTCCGCTTCGCGTAATACCCTCTTAACGTCATTACGACAGTCCCGATAATACTGCCAATCCACAAGAGCACCCGTCTCTCGCGCGATTTTGTGAGCTTGATCTCTTTTTGCCATTTTCTCTTTGATCTCTTCATTTATAAATGAATATCTCCGATGTCTGATTTTAATTTTCTTAATAGGTGCATGATTATCCACAACCCGGAAAAAGGCTTTATTGAAATGGAGCAGTTTCTCATTTACATCGTCAGACAAAATGTTTTCAATAGAACGGTAGAAATAGAAATAGAAGCAGAAATTTTTAGCCACTATCGGATAATAGGAAATTCTTGGCAATATTGCCCCTCCGAAGATAGAGTTTCTCGAAAACAGTTGTTGAGTGCCCCTGATAATTTCTCTGTACTGATCTCTATACATTTTCTTACAGAATTAGTTGGAGAAATTTGATAAACGATCCAACCATTTGTCCTTTTGCAATCATTTCATGTTTTCTCTTATTTAGTTGTGTATTGTTATTTTAAGGAGAAAAACTGGTATTGGTGACACTACGGACTTAAAGTGTTAAGCGACCAAAACTGGGTACTTTTCTTTGAAATAGCATCCTCTACATAGACAGGTTTTGGACGTACAGCTGTGTTTTTATACACAGCTGACAGAAACATCAAAGCAACTTTATGGGACTTCGGAGTTCATGAGAAAGATTACTAGTCTGATAACCCTCTCCTTAGAATGGAACAAAACAAAATTTTATAATAAAGAAGAACTGAAACGGAGTTTCCTGCTGTTCTAACTTTATAACCCATCTAAATAATGTGCCATTGCATTGACTCTCAACGGTTGTTGCGCAATGTTACAATTACTACGAGCATATTTAACAGTTTGGAATTATTTCCTTTTTTTAAGACGGAATCCACTAAGAAATTAAGTAATTTTAATTTTCAGTAGAGAAAAACCTTGTACCAGAATAATTTCAAGCATATTGAATCCTTTTTAACATTTTTCGGGGATAAAATAACTCCAAAGAAAAGGTTGT